CGATTCTCCTGCCTCAGCCTCCTGAGTAGCTGGGACTACAGATACCCGCCACCACGCCCAGCTAAGTTTTTGTCCCCTTTTCTTTTTAAGAGGAAAAGCAATTCCTGGCCTCCCAGCCTGGGCCAGCCAAAATAACTTAGGAAGAATGTGGGCAGGCCCAAGGCCTCTCACCTCCATCTTCCAATCCTTACACTGGTACTGTTTTCTTTTTAAAAAATTATTATTATTATTATTTTTTGAGACGGAGTTTCGCTCTTGTTGCCCAGGCTGGAATGCAATGGCGCGATCTCTGGCTCACCGCAACCTCCGCCTCCCGGCCTCAAGCAATTATCTTGCCTCAGCCTCCCGAGTTGCTGGGATTACAATCATGAGCCACCACACCCGGCTAATTTTGTATTTTTAGTAGAGACGGGGTTTCTTCATGTTGGTTAGGCTGATCTCAAACTCCCAACCTCAGGTGATCTGCCCGCCTTGGCCTCCCAAAGTGCTGGGATTACAGGCGTGAGCCACCATGCCAGGCCCTGTTTTCTTAAAATCACTGGTGAACACTCCACTTCTTAGAGACCCGCAATGTAAACTCGGCAAACAGAATGGCTTGTTTTCATCTGTGTTGGGGCCTGAAATGAGATAGTGACTAGATTTTGAGGCTGAGTAATTGCATTTACTGGGTTCATGGACACAAACTCCTGTAGGGCCTAGATATTTATCAGCACAGCCAAGGCCTGGGGGACAGTTTTGAGTTTCAGCTCCAACACTTCCTGCATGCCAAAGCTGCGTCAGCCTCTTTTTTTAAATAAACAAAAAACATTTAGTCACAGAAATGTTCAAGAATATGCAAAAGTAGAGAAAATATAGTAATAAAATCCTGCTTCAGCAGTCATCAACATTTGGCTAATCTTGTTTCATCCATGTACCCTTAAACACTGTTCCACACCCCAACATTTTTTTTTTTTTTTCTTGTGACAGGGTCTCACTCTGCCACCCAGGCTGGAGTGCAGAGGCGAGATCCTGGCTCACTGCAACTGCTGCCTCCTGGGTTCAAGTGATTCTCATGCCTCAGCCTCCTGAGTAGCTGGGACTATGGGACTACAGGCACGTGCCACCAAGTCTGGCTAATATTTTATACTTTTTAGTAGAGACGAGGTTTTGCCATGTTGCCCAGGCTGGTCTCGAACTCCTGAGCTCAGGCAACTTGCCCGCCTCGGCCTCCTAAAGTGCTGGGATTACAGGCTTGAGCCACTGCGCTCAGCCTTAATACTTTTCAATTTAAGGTAAAATACAGCATGATTTATTAACTTTTTTTTTTTTTTTGAGACAGAGTCTAGCTCTGTCACCCAGGCTGGAGTGCAGTGGCACAATCTTGGCTCACTGCAACCTCCATCTCCTGAGTTCAAGTGATTGTCCTGCCTCAGCCTCCCGAGTAGTTGGGACTACAGGTGCCTGTCACCACACCCAACTAATTTTTTTGTATTTGTATTTTATTTTATTATTATTTTTTGAGGCAGAGTCTCACTCTGTTACCTATGCTGGAGTCCAGTTGCACGATCTCAGCTCACTGCAACATACGCCTCCTGGGTTCAAGCAATTCTTGTGCCTCAGCTTCCCAAGTAGCTGGGATTACAGGTGTGCACCATTACGCCTGGCTAATTTTTGTATTTCTTTTTTTTTTTTGAGGCGGAGTCTCGCTCTGGAGTGCAATGGCGCGATCTCAGCTCACTGCAAGCTCCGCCTCCTGGGTTCA